AAATATAGCAAACTGAGAAAAATATTTAAAAATATTCAGTATACATGAATAGCATACATATGTATAAATTTAATATATGTATCTATACAAAGACATCTATAAAATTATTTCAGTATTATACTTGACAATAATATCTGTACATGTCTTTGACTGTAATGACAGGCAAATCCTTGCCATTTTTATAGTTTTACTGCATATAGGGGCCCTTCAAATACAGTTTATTTTTACCAGGTTTTGAACTTTTTAAGTTCATGAAAAATATTGTGCCTACTTTTTCTTAATTCTCTTTTTTAATAATAATGTTTTGGAGATTCAATCATTTCACTGTATGTAGATCCTTTATTTTACTGTGATATTATCTTGTAAATCTATAATAATTTTTCATTTTACTCTTGAACTTTAAAATGATTATAAACAATGGTGCTAAGGAAAGCCTTTTGCTCTAGGCTTAATATCATGTAATAGAATTAATGGAGTATAGCATTGCTTATCTTCAATTTCACTAGATATTGACAATGTTTTAAAAGTGGAATTGTTTGCCAATCTACAAGTTCAGGAACCAGGAATGGAGAAGCGAGAAGAGTAAAACAGGAAGAAAAGAATCCAATATAAAAGTATGTTATTGAGATACTGTTTATGGGCAATGGGAGCTCAATTTTATGAGCATTTGCTGAGGAGTGCATATTGTGCCTCTCAGAATTGTCATTGTAATTATTAATTTTATGTGTCAACTTGACTGGGCTAAGGGATACCCAGATAGCTAGTAAAACATTATTTCTGTGTATATTTGTGTGGCTATCTCTGGAAGATATTAGCATTTGAATTGGTAAATTGAGGGAGACAATAACCCTCACCAATATGAGTGAGCATCATCCAATCTTCCTGAATAGAACAAATAGGTAGAAGAAGTGTAAATTCACTCTCTGTGTTTGAAATAAGACATCTTTGTCTTCTGCCCTCTAACATCAGCACTTCTGGTTCTTCAACCTTAAGACTTGGCCTGGGACTTAGACTATTGGCTCCATGGATTTCATGTCTTCAGGCTTAATCTAAAACTACATTAATGTCTTTCCCTATCTCTAGTTTGCAGACATCAGATTGTGGGACTTCTTAGCCTCCAAGCCATAAGAACTAATCCCTCATAATAAGTCTCTTTCTACATATCTATATATATCCTATTGTTTCTTTTTCTCTGGAGAACCTTGACTATTATAGTGACGCTGAGGGACTAGAAAATGGAACATGTATACACAGGATCTATTGGCTAAGGGTTCTTCCCAATGGAAATTCTGGGTTGGCTCCAGCAATGGGAAGAAGGCCTCAGGAAAATATGAACAGACAATGCTGAACTTTCTCCTTAAGATTAGGAATAAAGCCTTATGTACCTCAATCAACACTCTTACTCATTTTATTGGAAGTCCTAACTTGTACAATAATATAAGGAAATCAAAGATATACATATTAAGAAGGATGACATAATACACTTTATTATCAGATAGCATGATTGTCTTTATGGAAAATCTCAAAGAATACACACAGAAAAAATCCTAACATGAGTAAGCAAGTATAGCGAGGTCACAGGAATCAAGGTCAATACGTAAAAGTCAGTTGCTTTTCTATATACCATCAATGAACAATTGGAATTTTAAATAAAAATAATAAAATGTATAATACAAAAAATGGAATGATTAAGCATAAATCTAACAAAATATGTACAAGAATTTTATGTGAAAAACAACAACACTCTGATGAAACAAATCAAAGGAGATCTTAATAAATGAGGAGACAGTTCATGTACATGGACTGGAAGACATGATGTTGTTAATGTGTCTGTTCTTCAAAACTTGATCTATACATCCAGTACCATCTCAAATGACATGCCAGCAAGGAGTTTTGTAAATATTGACAAAATAATCTTACAATTCTTAAAATGGAAAGGCAAAAGGCCATAATAGTCAACACAGTGCTGAAGAAAAAATACATATCTGAAAATGACTTGTGTTCAAAATATATGAACTACACTTAAAACTAAAAAAAATAAAAGGGTATGCAACCTACTGAAAAGTGCACAACAGATGTGAACAAACAACCAAAGAAGATGCATAGATGGCCTACAAGCATATGAAAAATTTTCAACATTATTTGTCATCAGGGAAACTTCAATTAAAAACAAGATACCACTAAACACCAATTTGAATGGCTGAGATCCAAAAAATTCCTGACAATGCCCATTGCTGATGAGGATATGGAGATGAAGGAACTCTCATTGATTGCTGTTGGGTATGTAAAACAGCTTAGCCACTTTGGAAAACAGTTAAGCAGTTTCTTACAAAGATAGACATATTCTTACCATATGATCCAGCAAATATAGTCCTAGGTGTTTATCCAACTGATTTGAAAACTTATGCCAACACAAAAACCTGCAAATTAATGCAACAGCTTTATTCATAATCTTCAAAAACTTTAAGTGACCAAAAAGTCCTTAATTTGCTAAGTAGATACACAAAGTGTGGTACAACTATACAATGGAATATTTGAACAATATAAAGAAATGATCTGTCAAACAATGAAAAGACATGGATGAATCTTAAAGGCATATTGCTATATGAAGGAAGCTAGTTTGAAGTGGCTACAATCTGTGTATATGTGACGTTCTAGTAAAGGTAAAACTACAGAGACAAAAAATACATCAGTGCCTGCCAAATATTTGGACGGATAGACTGGGAAGCACAGGAGATTTTTCACGGCAGTGAAATGATTCTACATGATGCTATAATTGTGGATATGCAAGACTATGCATTAGCAGAAACCACTGAACTTTGCAGCACAAAAAGTAAATCCCAATGTATGCAAATTTAAAGAAAAAAATCACTTAACAGGTTGAGGAACTCAGGATGGATGCAGAATGTGACAAAACAGTCTAAATGTATTGCAAATGTATAAAACAATCTCATTGATGGAGTTGAGGAAAAGATGCTACCCTAATAAACTTAGGAAAATAAAAACTGTACATAGGCATTGTACTCTAGTCGATAAAGTTGATTCCCATAAGGGTATGGGGTAGCAATTCTGATACTGCTATACAAGTGTAGTGGAATTGGGCAATTAAGTAAATGTATGGCAGATAATGGAAACCAGATTTCTTACTGTTTGTGTTGGAGTTTACATGTAAGCAAGGAGAAGAAGCTAGAATAATCCATGTGCTAATGGAATAGAGTTATAGACATTATGAACTCATGTTTAGCTTTATATATATATAGAGAGAGAGATGATTATACATAACAATATTTATAGATGTAAGTATCATAAGTTAATAAGCCTATATGTATTTTCTTCCTCTGTCAGCTGAGAGGGCCTAGAAGCAATGACACAATGGTAGCAACAAGCACACCTGGTACTCAGATCTCAGGTTCTAAGACCATTCTCCAACAAAAGGAAGCAGGACTCCCTGGAGAAATAGCTGATTCTAAGACTTGGCAAAAAGTTTATAAGATGAGCCCGGGGCATGTTGTACTGCCTGGAAACGAGAAAGTTATAAAAAACAATTACGTTCATGATTGATGGATATTTGTCAAAGGGACACAGGAGCCAACTGAAAGAGCTTTCCATGGCCAATGCTAAAACAATTTGAGCAAGAAAATAAATATAGTAGTATTGAATTATAACCCAAAGTATTAAGTATGTATCCGTGAGTCCATACTGATAATATAAATACGCGATTGGACATATAAGAAAACAGGGGAAAAGAAAAGATCCAAAAAGAAGAATTCCAAATATTTTTTTTTAAAGATTTTATTTTTTCCTTTTTCTCCCCAAAGCACCCTGGTACATAGTTGTATATTCTTCATTGTGGGTCCTTCTAGTTGTGGCATGTGGGACGCCGCCTCAGCGTGGCCCGACCAGCAGTGCCATGTCCGCGCCCAGGACTCGAACCAACGAAACACTGGGCCACCTGCAGCGGAGCGCGCGAACATAACCACTCAGCCGTGGGGCCAGCCCCCCCAAATAATTTTTGTAGATATTCCTCCCTGAACGAGTTGGAGCATAATTTCCCACTCTTTAAGTATGGACTTCATATAGTGACTTCCTTTCAAAAAGTACATAGAAGAGGGGAAAAAAGATAACAGAGAGCTGTTCAGTGCAGAAACCAGACAAACACTACCTCAAACAGATCTAAAAGGTTAATATCAACAGCGATAAGTCATGTTGAATGTTGACAGTATGTATCTTTGATGTGATATAGTGAAATGACGCTTTAACTTTATCTTCCTTACAAAACCCATAGACAAAGTGTAACAATACAAAAAACATCAGAAAATTCCCAATTAATGGACATTCTACAAATTGCATAACAAGTACTCCTAAAAATTCTCAAGGTCATCAAAAGCAAGGAGAATCTGAGAAACTGCCACAGCTAAGAGAAGATTAAAGAGATGTGATGGCTAAATGCAATTTGATATCCTGGCTGGGATAATGGAACAAAAAAATGGAACTTATGTAAAAACTAAGGGGTAAATATGGACTTCAATTAATAATATATGTATCAATAATTGTTTATTAATAGTGATTCATGTGGCATACTAGTGTAAAATGTTAATAATAGGGGAAATCAGGTACAAGTAAATGCGAATCCATTATCTTCAACATTTTCAATAAATTTAAAGCTTCTAAAAATAATGTTAATTTAAAAACCATGAAAAGAAAATCAAGGTGGATACTTAAATAGAATACTGTCAACACAAGCTGAGTTTGAACTTGCATAGAATGAACAAATGTATATGAAGTTGAAATGAGAGGCAGTCAGAGGATGTGAGGGGGTTACCAGAGGTGTCTGGTACAATTTTCCTTTAAAGATTTTATTTTTTTCCTTTTTCTCCCCAAAGCCCCCCGGTACATAGTTGTATATTCTTCGTGGTGGGTCCTTCTAGTTGTGGCATGTGGGACGCTGCCTCAGCATGGTTTGATGAGCAGTGCCATGTCCACGCGCAGGATTCGAACCAACGAAACACTGGGCCGCCTGCAGTGGAGCGCGCGAACTTAACTACCCGGCCACGGGGCCAGCCCCTGGTACAATTTTCAATCTATATTATTTGAGTGACTACTCTATACCCTGGTAGAGCCTCAGTCAATTCATAGAAGGGAGATTAAAAGAATAAACATTCAAGGCACACAATTACCATAAGCAGTCAGTGTTAAGAAGAAAGGAGGTAGTATCTGAGAGCTAGAAGAGAGAAACAGTGTAGAAAGTAATTTAAGTTGGAGTTTCAAAGATGAATTTTCTGAGGAAACGACAATTAAGTTCTTATAGCCGTTAAAGGTGTATTTTTTCAGGTCAGATTCTGGCACATTTTATTAGTTATCTCAAGGTAGATTGATGGAGATCTTGGCCAGGTCTACTTGGTATGCTTAGTGTACTTGGTATGCTCAGTGTTAAACATCTTTAGAGTTCTCAGGGAACAGTCCTTGAAAGCTGTGACTCCTTTTCCTACCTTCCCTCCAGCTAATGATTTGGATGAACTACAAATTGTGTAACTACAAGACTATGAATACACACAGATAAAGCAGTCTCCATAAACTAGAAGTCAAGTGGAGAAACTTAACCACTTCCACTGAAAAATCCAGAAACCAAAAATAAAAAAAACAAAGGAAGGGTAAAACGAATCCACTGGAAACAGGAACCAAGCTGCTATCTGGAGATATGGGAGTGAACTAAATGTACAGCGGGCTACCTTGATGGAGATTAGCAGTCCTGTGTGAATTTGGACAATAAACGGACCATTACAAACTAGAATAATAGATAACAAAACAGGGGGATGGATATTGAATTAGGCACGATAACAACATATACATAGGTCTATAACTCAGATTTTAAAGTTCTGGTTAGGTTTTGAAGATAAGAAATAAAGGAAATTACTCAGAAAAAGAAGGTGTATAGTGAGATATGGTTAGAAAGAGAATTTTCCAGACTAGAGATATGTAAAAGCTAAAGATTACAGTCACCATATTGCTATTATTTTTGCTGTTTTTGAATAGAAAGAAGAAAGGAGGTTGGTAATCACTGCTAGAAGGTATTTTCATTGAGGGTTTTTATCAATTGTATGGGAGAAAAATGGGAGAAGATGGCGGTGATGGCATTAGTGAGTCCATGTATGCAGGTTGTCTTTAGTATTTCTTCTAATCCATGTCTCAATGATATTTATGAGAGAAAATTCCATAGGGAAATGGCAGCAAAGGCCTTGGGATAAGAAATGTCAATAGAATCCTGCTAAATATATGGATACATGGATATATGTTTATATATATATCCAACATATAGATATATTTTGAGGATATATATATATTTATGACAGGTGAGCTAAGATTAAACATACCAATGAATACAATGTAATAGCCAATGACTGAGACTAATAAATCATCCTTGTGTTATTTCTTATTACAAGAATATTCTTCTTTCTAGCATTTTCTTTAGGGCAACATTAACATCTTTATTCCGTAGGCTATAGATGAGGGGATTCAGCATGGGCACAACAATAGTGTAAAACACAGAGGACACTTTCCCTTGGTCCATGGAGCTGACTGATGATGGCTGCAGGTACATGAAAGCAGCAGATCCAAAGAAAACAGCAACAGCCAAGATGTGAGAGCTGCACGTGCTGAAGGCTTTGGACCTGCCCTCAGTGGAGCGAATGTGGAGGATGCTGGCAATGATGAAGATGTAAGAGCTAAGGATGGTCAGGCTGGGGACAAGGATATTAATTGCACTAAAAATTAGAATGAGTAATTTGTTGACATAGGTACTAGAACAGGAGAGTTTTAAGAGGGAAAGAAGATCACAGAAATAATGGTTGATCACATAAAATTTGCAGAAATGAACCCTTAACATGCAGCCTGTATGAGCAAATGCACAAATCAGGCCTATAATGTACACCCCTAAAATCAGGGAGAAACAGACCTGATGGGACATGATGACATTGTAAAGCAAGGGGCTACAGATGGCAACATAGCGGTCATATGCCATTGCAGCTAACATGTAGCATTCTGAAATAGCAAAAACAAGGAAGAAATAGAGCTGAGTCATGCATTCAGGGTAGGAGATAATGTTCTTCTCTGTCGCAAAGTTCCCCAGCATTTTGGGGGTGATGACAGTAGAATGGCAGAAGTCAATGAAGGACAAACTGCTGAGGAAATAGTACATGGGGTTGTGCAGGTGAGAAGTGAGCCCTATTAGTGCGATCATGCCCAGGTTCCCCACCACTGTGACCACATAGATTCCTAGGAAGAGGAGGAAGAGGGGCAGCTGGAGTTCTGGCTGTTCTGTTAGCCCAGCGAGGATGAACTCAGTCACTGTGGAATGATTTCCCGCTGCCATTTTCCTTTGGAGAGTTTCTGCAGAGGAGAGAGGAAAACACAGTTGTTGGAAGAACTTCATTATTCTTCTCTATTTAGAGTAGGGTGCCCCATAAAGATGTTTCATGGATTAGGTATCCTCTTGGTCTATGTCATCAATTAATTATGGGTCAATTTATGTAAGTAAAATTTATCTTGATTTAATATTTATTAAGCCTCATTTTCAAATATAATAAATGTATTTCATATAAAAATAGTTTAGCCATGTTTATAATCATTGAAAATATTAAGAGTGTCTACTTCCTATTTTAAACATTTTAATGATCATTGAATCAACATTTCTAATTAAGACTCTCAAACTTAAATATTAAAGAAGCCAATATCAATGAAGAAAACTGGTTGAGTGACAACTTGGGAGAGTAAACTCTGCCTAAGGGTAGTAGGAGTCTTTAATAACCTGCAATTTTCTGGCAGAGGTGAACAGAGACTTTATTATTTTTTGACATTTCAATTTTTAAAATAATTATCATAAATCTAAATTTCTACGTAAAACTTCAGATTTTCAAATCTTATTAACATGAAACAACACCTACAACAATCATTGTACAAATCTACCACATGGATTGAACCACAGTTAGCGGGTTCTGGTCTCTGGACCAAGTACTTCTGCCTTTGCTTGAGAGAAGCACTATGAGTAATAGTTAAATGGACAGGCCTTAAAGGCAAAGTGCCTGTGTTCATATTCTGATCCCATCATTTACTAGCTGATATCTTTGGACAAGTAAAACAACTTCTTTTTGTCTTGACTTGTGAGTCTGCAAAATAGAGATAATGTTCTCTACCTAGAATAAAATCAGGAGAGACTTATCAATCAGAAAGAGCATGATCATTACTGTGATGTCATTATTACCTATTAACATTTTATCAATTGGAAAATATGCTACAATTGTACACTTCAAATTACAGAAAGAGAAATCTTAATATTACAATTGTAAGGATTCTCTTTCATCTTTTGCACAAAGCAGAGGCATACTATTAGCAAAACAGAATTACAAATGTGATTCCTTATTCTGTTAAATGGCAAACTGATGATTTAATCATTCTACATACCAAAGTAAAATTTTCAAATGGATTAGAGTTGAATTATAAAAATATAGGAAATATAGAAAATCTAAAATTTTTATCTCATATCCGCACTAAAATAAACCTGAACGCATAGATCTGAGGACAAAGGCTAAACTATAAAGCATCTGGAAGAAAATCTCTGAGATAATGGAGTAGTTTAAGATTTTTTTTATAAAGGACATACATGCACACACAAAAATAAAACAAAAATAAAATCTTAACAAACAAGTAAAACAAGTAAACATAAAAATGTTTAAATTGTACTTGATCAAAACTAAAAACTACTCTTCAAAAGACACCATTAAGAAAATGTAAAGGTTAGCCCAAGGCAATACATATATCTGACAAAGGGCTTTAGTCCCAAAAAGGTAAGTAATATTTACAATTTTTAACATAAATACAAGTAAATTTAAAGGGTTTAAAATATCTGAACATATACGTCACAACAAATGTATATGAATAATCAATAAGTAAATGAAAATATGCCAAATGTCATTAGTCATCAAGGAAATGAAAATTAAAACCATAATGAGACCTCTCTACACACCTATATTGGAATAGGTAAAACAAACCAAAAACCCCTGGAAATACCAAGTATTGATGAGAAGCGACTGGACTTGTCATACAAATCTGATGAGGGGATATAAAACTTTTCAACCATTTTGGAAAACAGCATGTCAATTTCTTGCAAATTTAAATGAACATTTACTATCCAATCCAACAATTTTACTCCTCAGTATTTATCCCCAAAGAAGTGTAAACATTTGTAAACATAAAGGCTTGTACAAAAATGTGCATGGCAGATTTATAAATAAAATTTCAAAACTGGAAACAACCCAAATGTATGTTCATCAACTGATGAATTGATGAATGAGTTGTGGTGTACATACATACATACATATTTACATATATATATGGAAAGAGAGAGAGAGTTGGAATACTATTCAGCATTAAAAAAGGAATATATCAAAAATACATGCAATAACAGAAATCTCAAAAACATTATGTTTTTTGGAATAAATTGCACAAAGTTTAGCTAAATATTTGGAACTCTTCACCAGTGTAGCAAACTAAACCTGTGGTTTTGTTCTCTTTGTCTGAGAGTTTTTAGTAAGGTTTTGGATTTACTTCATAGGTATCACTGATTCAGATTTCATTTTCCTTCTCTGCTTTTCTAAGTTGAAATTTCAACATATTCATCCACTTTGAAAATTCTCAAATGTGTTGCATTAGATTTTTCATAATGATTTCTTTACTATTTAGAAAAAATTATAGACTATGCTGAGATTTCTGCTTATTCCTTTCTGAAATCAGTAAACTATGGTTCTTCTCTTTTTCATCTTGATTTCTCGTTCTACAAATATTCCAAATTTATTAATTGGTTCAAGTAAACTAACTTCTCACTATGCTGATTTTATGAATTATATATTTATTTTCTATTAAATTACTTCCAGTAACTTATTTTATTCCTTATGCCTTTGTTTGGTATGATTCTCTGTTATTATCCTAACTTCTTAAAATGGAAACTTAAATCAACATCTTCGAATTTTATTTTTTCTAACATGTATATATAAGTTATCAATTTCTCTCTAAGCCCATTTTAGCTGTATCTCATAAGTTTTCATATATCAAATCTATGACATCATTCAGTTCAAAATATTTTACAATTTTTGTTCTGTTTTTTTCATTGTCCCATGGATTATGTGGAAGTGAATTATCTACACAATAGGTGGGATTTTTTTAAGCTATTCCTGTTTTTAAATGTCTGTCAATTTCATTGTGGTTAATGAACATACTCTGAATTATCTAAATTACTGAAAATTGCTAAGATATCTTTATAATAAAGCATATGATCAGTTTTCATAAATATTCCCAATGTGTTTTAAAATATATTATCTGTTTTTGAGGGCCCTGTGGTGTGTATATTTCAATTATGGCCACTTCATTAGTTATGTTGTTTAGATTTTGCATATACCTAGTGATTATTTTGTCTGTTGTTCTAATGGCTATTGAGATAGGTATGTTAATGTCTCCCACTAAAGTTTCTGATTTGCCTGTTTACCCTTTTAGTTGTTCAAACTTTGAATTAAACCCTTTATCATTATGGAATGGCCCATTTTATATTTTCTAATGTTTCTTGGTTAAAGCCTCTTGTCTGATATTAGTGTACTGTCACAACGTTTCTTTTTTTTATTTTTCTTTTGAGGAAGATCAACCCCGAGCTAGCATCCGTGCCCATCTTCCTCTACTTTATATGTGGGATGCCTGCCACAGCATAGCTTGATAAGCCATGTACACAGGATCTGAACTGGTGAACCATAGGCCACCGAAGCAGAATGTGTGAACTTAAATCACTGCACCATGGGGAAGGCCCCCACAATGGATATTTTCATTAGAGTTTGTGCACCATGTTGTTTTCCATCCATTTGGTATCTCTCTGTATTTTTTGAAAGAAGCAACACATGAAATAATCATTTTAAAATAGTGTTACATAAAATAGCAGCACGTTAGCATAAAATGCCTAGTAAAAAATTCAACAAAATATGTGTAATGCTTATATCCTGACTTAATTCTAAGAGAACCGAGAGAAACGTCAGTTGCTCAATATGAATATGACACAGAGAGTTCATCATTATTTCATACAAGCAAGTGGCATAGGCTCTCATAAGCTTATGGGTAAGAGTCCTGTGGGCTGGTTGCTTTACAGTCAGATGTGGAAAGACCATATCTGAACACAAAGAGTGTTTATTAATTCAGGGATTTCTCCATATGGTTGACCATCAGAATCATCTAGGAAGATTATAGTATTTACAAAAAGTGATGAATGTAAGAACATAAACATGATTAAAAGGAGAGACAAATGTTCCTTAATCATCCTCTCTATGCTCTTAGTTCTGTTACCAGGAGATAATATAATCTCTGTAGAATAGCTCTGAAAAACAGTTTCTTTCTACTTCTGAAAGTTACTTCCACAACTCTAAATAATTTGTTCATATTTCTATTTCCAGAATTATCAACTTTGAACATGAAATCAACTTTCCAGATTACATGTGGAGTTACTTTATTTTATTTATGTATTTTTATTGCTGAGAAAGTGTCACCCTGAGCTAACATCTGTTCCCAATCTTCCTCTTTACATGTGGAGTTACTTTAGTTAACTGGTATCATTACCTCTTCTTTCATTCTGATATCTCATAGTTGTATTCTATTTTAGATATTAATAGCTTTTGGAATTTTAAAAATTTTCTCAAAAACTATTCATCAACTTTCGAAATCCTCTCATTTGGAGAGATTTTGTTTGTTTGTTTAATATATATTTCCTTCCCCTATATTAGACACTGTGAATCAGAATCTCTGAGGGTGTGGTTTAGAGATCTGAACTTTCTAAAAATAAAAGAAAACACACAAAGCTATCACGGTAATTCTGATGATTGTTTGGAAACAATTGGATTAAGAAATTAAAGTCAGTCTAGTAGTTCAAGTGAAGAATTTCAGAACTTTCTCTCTCTTGCAGTTTCTCTCTCTCTCTTTTATTGAGCCAAACTTACTGAGAGACAACAAAGTGCCAGAAACTGAGCTGAAGTCTAGAGATATAAAAAATAAAATGGCACATTCCTTGCTCTAATGGAACTCACAGTCTAAGTTCTATTCTACTCTGTTACGTATGATTACTATGGAATTAGTACACATAATCTCTGTGAAATTTTCCTTATCTGAGTTCAGCTTAGATTTAGAGATTGGCAATCCCCCCAAGTATGATGTACACCCTGAGGTCAACAGTACTCCCACCTTGCTGTAACTTTAGCACTAAAGAACGATAAGAACCAGGAAAATGAATCCAGATCCTGAAAATAGTTCAAACAAACAAATTAAAAGTTAGCAGAGAAAATAATTAACTTCTAGTCTTAGTTTTAAAAAATAATTCTTCACATA